GTACAAGTTCACAGACATCACATTAAACCGTGTCTTAATTTCAAAACACGTGTCTCCATAGCATGTCGGTGAATTTGTACTTATGACGGTTTCGTGAAAGGCTGCCTTGATATTAACAGTTGTCATATTTTCTCTCCTAGACATGTAGTCAAAAGCTTTCTAAATCTCGCATGATAACACCGGATAACTACTCAGTAGATACCGAAGGAGACATGCAGGTAATGATATACCTTTATGATTTTTATCGAGGTCTTTATTCTGGCACGCTAATATACGAGACGTTTGTGACTAAACAGGTCGGCTTTTTGGACAGTTGATTTCAAACAATAATTCAAAGAAGCTTACGTGCAATATTTCATAAATATTTTAAGAAACATCTTGGACACTTGTCATAAATGACATTAAGAATATCTGAATGGTCAGTGCGTTTCTTTAATTTGGCAGATGATAGAGGATTGGTAATACTACAAGATTATTATCTTGATCATGCCATACTCATTAAGACTATCACGTTTGCCCAATAATATAACACAGAAAAGGCTCCTTCTATCATCAGTTCCAAATTCTCTCTATCTCTAAATCCCTCAATCTCTTTCACATTGTTATTCCCTGCAACTTCCTCGTTCTCCTTCCCATTCTATCTGTCTTTTTTTTCTTTCTCTCTCTCTCTCTCTATCTATCTCTCACCCTCCTTTTCTCTCCGTTTTCATTTTCTATATTTTTCTTCACTTTCTCGCGTTTACCCTTCTCCCATCATCTCTCTCTCTCTCTTTTTTTTTTCTCTCTCTCCTTCTCTCTCTCTCTCTCTCTCTCTCTTTCTCTTTCTCTCTCTCTCTCTCTTTCTCTCTATTTTGTCCTACATGTCTCATCACATAATCATTACCATAATGATTCAAATCATTTCCCTACAGTTCACAAAGTGTCACGGACGGAAAAATTTCACCGACGAGTCTTTCATCTACATCACTGACTGTCGGTCTGGTTCTGGTGGGTTTCGTGAAGTCACATATAACATTACGCTGAGGAATCAAGGAAAATCGCTACGAAGGGAGTTTTCGGCTGACGAAATGTGTAAGTTTGCTCCATACTAACCATTCGGAGATAAAGAACTTAATAGCTTAGGCCTAAACCTCAGTCACTCCAATGAGACGAACACCAGACGGAACAAATCATTACCTTCTCCTCGATCATAGCTCAGTAAACCGCCTCAGGCACACCGCCAACGATACCGACACTACGAAGACAGTTTTCGGCTGACAAAAATGTGTATGTGTGCTCTAACCCTGTGGGGATAGAGAACTTGCTTAGGCCAGGGAGGTGGGAGGACACCTCCCTGCTTAAGCCTAAACCTCAGTCACACCAACGAGACCGACACCAGACGGAACAAATCATTACATTATCCTCATACCTCAGTAAACCGCCTCAGTCACACCGCCAAACCGACCGACTCTGGCACCATTCGGAATAATGTAATGTTATGTTTGGCCTATTGTCGGCCTGGTGTCGGTCTAATCTGTATAACTGAGGTGTTAACGATTAAAAAATCAACAACACTTTGAACCCAAATTTAATCAATGACATTTTTTGACGATTTGTTCTTCTTTTTTAGCTTTAATCATATATCGCGAATTGTGAATTCGTGTTATAATGTAATCAGGGTGCGAAGAGATTAAAGCCCAATTAGTATTCATTGGTATGATACAAGAGCACTTATGTATTTATTTATTTTTGTTTAATTTTCAGATTTGTTAGAGACGAATATCATTGTCCTTTTCCTGTATATCCTGATGTTTATCATGGGAACATGGCTGTTGGGTAATTATGTTTTTCGAGCATAAACAAACAAAACCATCATAAAAGGAGGGTTAATATGTTAGTAATTTAAATAAAACTTGTGATGAGTAGATATGATGTCAAGACAGAGGCGGCCCTCCCAGGGGGGGGGGGAGGCACTCGAAAAGTGGCCCTTTTTACATAGGAAAAATGCCCCTTTAACTTTGTAATAAGTGCCCCTTTTTACATAGGAATAGTGCCCCTTTTACTTTGTCAAGTGCCCCTATTAATTTGTAAAAGTGCCCCTTCCCCTGTTCAACTCTGATAAGTGCCCCTTTTATTTGGACACGGCCCTCTTTTACTTCGACAAGATCCCATTTTCATTTGCAATAAGTATCACTTTTCCATTCTCATTAGTGCCCTTTTTAATCTCTAGTAAGTGCCCCTTTGCAGGTACGTGAAGTGCCTCTTTTCACTTTTGATAAGTGCCCCCTTCACCTCTGATAATTGCCCTATTCAAATCTGAGAAGTGCCCCTTCCCCTTTTAATAACTTCCCCAATTTTAACTCGGATAAGCGCACCTTATATTTTCACATGTGCCCCTTGTCCTAATGATAAGTGCCCAATCAAAAAAGAGTCCCTTCCCCTTCACATAAGTGCCCCTTCTCTGGGAAATGACCCTTTTCAGGTACGAGAAGTTACTCCTTTTTACTTCAGATAAGTGCCCCCTTCACCTCCGATAAATGACCCTTAAAACTCTGATGAGTGCCCATTTTCTTTCAACTAATGCACATTTTCCTTTATTATAAGTGCCCCTTTTTCATTTTCGTAAGTGCCCCTTTTCATATCTGGTCATTGCTCCTTTTCAGGTGCGATGAGTGCCTCTTTTCACCTCTGATAATTTCCCTTTTAACAATGATACGTGCAACTTTTCCTTTCATAAATGCCCCTTTTCACCTCTTATAAACGCCCTATCAAAATCTGATGGGGGCCCCTTTTCGGTTGACAAATGCCCATTTCCTATTCTCATGACTGACTTTTTCCATTTCTTGGTGCCCCCCCCCCCCCCCCCCCCACTTTGGAAGTCGCTCGGCCGTCCAGATTAAACAGGCTTACTTGAGTTTGTCAAGAACCGTACAAATATTTACTAAAAGATTAAGAAATCAATGAAATATTATGACAATTTTTATTTCTTCAGAAAGTTCATTTTCTACACAGACGACAAAAAATGTTTTCAAAAATACCTAAATGGCATTGAGTTTTGACAACTATTCCAGTCTGGATGACACTACAAAACGCAGTATGCTTTTTACTCTTTCGGTTTGTGTCGGTCTTATCGATTAAAACTCAATTTTGGAAATGACCGTTTGTAAATCGAAAAGAATGGAAACTTGAAAAGAATCTGAACTTCAGACTCATAAACACCACTAACAGAATTTTCTCATGTACTTTTTTTTACATGCAGTGAATGTATTTAGGACAAAACTGAAAGTCATCTTTCGATGGTTTTACCTGTCTCTCTGCTCACAAACGTGCGCCCTTATCATCTCGACGATAACTCTCGCATGCTTCTCTCAGACCGGTAGAGGGCTCACTCATATGCAGCGAATAGGTAAGTGATACTCTATTTTGAAGACAGCTATAACCCCCCCCCCCCCCTCCTTTTGTGCAGTCTAAATGATGCAGACTGCTCCTCTAAGGCCGGTAGAGGGCTCACTCATAGGTAGCAATTAGGTAGGTGTTGCAGTCGGTCCTCTCAAATGAAGAAAGCTAAGATCACTTCAATCTCCCCCCCCCCCCCAAAAAAAAAGTTCTTTAGTCAAAAAGCTTTAGCCAGGGGCGGATCTAGGGGGGTTCGGCGGTTTAACCCCCCCCCCCCCTCGGGCGACCAAGTGAAAAAAAGAAGAAGAAAAGGGGGGGTGGAAGAGAAAACAATAAAACGGTGCGATTTTTGGAAAATCTTGGATCCGCCACTGGGTCACCTCCCCCCCCCCCCCCCCCCCCCCTTGGCAAAAAGCTAGATCCGCCCCTGCTCACTCTACTGTGTATGATCGAATCTCTTTGGTAGCAATTAGGCAAGTATTGCAGGCGATCCTCTCGAATGAAAATTATAGGACTACTCAAATCCATCCCTTCCCCCCCCCCCCTCCCCAGGCAATGTTCTTTAGTCTTTAAAAAGGAATGTTAATTTACTGACGCAATACTTGTAACAGTAATATTACGCTGTATATCAATGTAATGTTTTGATAAGGGTAATCAATATATCTACTTATATCCACATAATATTCGTGATGGACTAGAACCTGTGATTATTTTCGAGTAGGTCTATCTTAATTTATGTTGACTTATTTCTTCTTCCATTTGTTCATGCCTTCGGTGTTTTGGTGTTGGATCAAAGACTTTCGTCTAATATTCTTACCTTCTTCTATAAGGTCCATGTTTTAAATATCAACCGTAGGTGTACAAGGCAGCTAGCGACTAACCGGATGCAGCTAGTTCCCTTGATATATTTTGGCTACGAAAGGGGAAAACCTAGCGACTAACCGGATGCGGCCAGTTCCCTTGATATGTGGCTAGGACAGCGGAAAACCTTTTAGACTGGACCCAAATGGTTTATATGCTCATTCCTTGTAAAATAAGATATATGTTTCGATTTATTTCACATTTCCCACATTTTATTTTTTTGACAGGTCAAACCTTTAATTGTTTGAGCACCCCGGTCTTTTCAGCTCTTCTGATAGTCATAGGGAAAGGACATTCCGTCACACGGTGAGTTTTTCATAAAATATGACAAGGAATAAATGCATTCGATACATCATCAACAACAACAACAAAACGGAATACTACGGTACGTTATCCCGAAAGTGAATTTTGAGGATCGTAATTCAGATAATTGAGTAAATAACGGGCGTAGCCAGTCCCAACGACTGAGGGGGCACTCGTGGACTGAGGGGTGGACATTGGACATACCACATGGATAAAATTTAATGCTACAAGATGGTCGTAGAGGGACAAGGAGGTGTGGGCAGGGATCCCCTCTTGATATTTTAATGTAGCCTTCTCTTCTTCCCCCTCTCTTTCTTCCCCCCTCCCCCCCCCCCTCTCTCTCTCTCTCTCTCTCTCTCCCCCTCTCTCTCTCTCGCTCTCTCTAGCCATTCTATTTGAGGGAATATACCACCAAACTGCGCCTCCGGTAGTACCTACTTTCATGAAAGAGAAAAATTAAAACTCATACATTCCTTATAAAACGATAAATATGATGCAACATGACAAATCATAAACGAAATTTCGCTAGATATTCTTCATATGATAACGATCCCTTTTGTTCAATTCCGTTGCATGGTGATAGTCGTTCCCTATCTGCGGCAGACAATTCGAGAGTTGGTGCCTACGCAATCACCTCGTCAGTAGCGAGTCTGATATCACAGCTTTCAGCATATTCATCTGATGATATCTATGACTTTCCTGATCAGTACAAAGTCATCTTGGTTATCAACGGAATAGGTAAGTTAAAATAATTCGGATTCGATCGGTCATTATGTTTAGTTTGTATATATAGTTTGTACTTATTTCAGATTTCCGAATATATCTGGGCATCGTCTTATAAAGAGTTGATATCAATCGCAACTATGTACATAAAGAGATAGGAGCCTGCAAACTTGCGATTGATCGGAGGACTTACGATTGATTTGGATCAATCGTAACTCTTTATAAGACGGACCCTTGTAGTACCATAATTCTGCTATGTAGTTGCGTACATTATAGCTATTCAATTTTACATCTGTCTTTCATTTCTGCCTACCCTTTTCTCCTTCTCTTGCCTCCTCCTCCTCGTCGTCGTCCTTCATCTTCTCACTTAGTATTCATCCGATGTCTGTCTCTCTTTCCACCTCTTTCCTTCTAGTTTTTCTTTCTTTCTTTCTCTCCTCCCCTCCATCCTTCTCACTCTATCTGTCTCTCCACATCTGTCTATCTCTCTCTCTCCCTCTCTCTCTCTCTCTCTCCCTCTCTCTCTCTTTCTCTCTCCCCCTCTCTCTCTCTCTCTCTCTCTCTCCCCCCTCTCTCTCTCTCTCTCTCTATTTTTACCTGTCTATTATTGTAACCATATCTATCAATACAATTAACTATCACCCTCACTGAATGCGAAAATTATTGTCTTAGTTTTTATTTCAAACTCCTTTCAATAATTTCCTTTCCTTGACTTCCATTCTTCTTTATCTGCTAGGTGCTATTTGGCTCCTTACCAGTGTCTACTCCACCCTTCGACCACGCCCAAAGCTCGCCTCCTTATACGTGCCCTTCCTCATCTTCTACTGTCTTTGGTTCCTAGCAGAACCCATCTTTCTACTCGTTGTTTTCTATGCCTTACCTCAACTAGAAACGTAAGCTGTTACATTCTCATTTCAATCCATTTTGTTTCGTTTTCTATCCCAACCGCTTGGGTATTTCGACGAGGGGGGGGGGGGTACTGCATGGGGGCTCAGTCGCACATGCGACCTCACAAAACGGTGACGTGAAGTATAGCCAAACTTCTATAACATGTTTGAGGAGGGGACGGAGTTTGCGTATTTCCTAAAAGGTAAATCACAATAGAAGAAAATTAACGCAGTATCTTTATGTTATGAATCGAAGTCAATCTGAATATCATCAAACAAACAAAACCGCTGACAAAACATTAGATTGGCTCGGATATTTTGCACCCACCCCATCCGACACCAAAGTCTATATTCGCCACAAGTTTCATTCTTTTGAAATAGTATTTAAGATACGGTAGGCATAATACTGACTATCTTTCTGAGGATTTCCCCCTCTTTTACACACCTCTTTAACTTCTAATTTTGTTTTGTTTCGTTTTCTTGTGAGGATTTTTTACGTTCCTTCTTCTCCCAATGTTTTGCTCCGTTTCTGTTAGACCCAACATCAAGAACGGTGTTTACTTGACACTCAGCGTCCTGGGTCATGCTGTCTTCTTCATTGTGATCAGACCAAGAGGCCTGGAAGAACGGTTTCCCTACTGCATGCCTGCCAATAAGGTATGTCAGGGGACAACGTTACGGGGGGTGGGTGCAGGAGGGGCGTTTACTCCCTTACATAATCATGCAATTAATTTACACCAAATATGGTAGAGATTGAGACATATTTAACACTTTATATGTAGAATATAGGACAACTTCTTCCCCCTTTTATTTTGTTGCTAGTCAGCACTTTTTGAAACTGCGCCCCTATATTAAAACCTCTTGCTCCATCCTGAGTTTTTCATTCCTACTACTGTATATTTCAGTCTTTTATCTTGAATGAAGAAGATCCTTTGCGTGCATGGAACATGCTGAACATTGATCACATTTGTTCAAAAATTCAGACGAAGGTTACGGTGTATTAGTTAAACCCTTTCCCCTTTTTATCTTCTTACTTCTAAATAAGGTTCAAGTGGAAACGGAAATCGGAGACGATGAGAGAGAGAAGCAAACATCATGCAATAAGAAGCAGGTAAGTTAACGAATCGGTTATGGTATTCAGGTAAGATCAGGCGCGTACGCAGGGGGAGGGGGTATTGAACCCCCTCCCCTGTTTAAAATAAAAAATGATTTTTATTTATTTTTTTTTTTTTTTTTTTTTTTTTTTTTTAATAAATATAAACGAAGATTGTGCTCATGGGTGACCCAAAAAGGTGACCTTACCCCCCCCCCCCCCAACGGAACGATCGGTCAAATACGATCAGTCAAATTTTCAAATTTTCTTGACAAAAAAAATAAAAATATGTCCTCTTAGCCCCGCTGAACGTTTCTCGGCGGGGGTCAAGGGGTGGAGCCCCCAGAAGCTCCGGAGGTATAGGCATTAAATTACTGTCAGATGAGCATATTTTGATACCTTATTTTTGACACTGGCAGGATTCAAAATGGTATTGGGTCCAGGGGGCAGAGCCCCCAAAAGCTCAGGGGTTTTATACATTAAATTATCGTCAGATGAGCATATTTTATACCTAATTTTGTGACACTGGCAGGTCACAAATTGGCGTCGGGTCCAGGGGCGAAGCCCCCGGAAGCTCAGGGGTTTTGGACAATAAATTACGGTCAGATGAGCATATTTTAATAGTTGTGACACTGGCAGGTCACGAATTGGCGTGGGGTCCAGGAGGCGGAGCCCCCGAAGCTCTGGGGTTTTAGGCATTTTATAACGGTCAGACAAGCATGCAGGGGCCCGCCTTAGGGCCCCTGGTGGGATCGAGGGGGTGGAGCCCCCGGAAGCTAAGGGGTTTTAAGGCATTTAAGCACGGTCAGATGAGAGGAGGGGGGGAGAGGAACAATTTTGTTGTTGTTGCTTTCTTTAGGACAAAATGAAGTCTTTCCCCTTTTTTTCCTTCTTTTTTTTCGCAGGGGGGGGGGACGGGCCCCCCGGGCACCCCTGGATCTGCCACTGTGTTTATGAATGGTTGAGACTCTTGTAAATTTGTGATAATCATGCATCATAAAAAATTCACATCATCATCTTCATCATCATCGTCGTCGTCATCTTCGTCAACATCATCATCTATGTTCGCCCCAAAACAAATAATGTACAAAGGATAAAAAACAGTATATTTAAACTATAAAGGGGTACATAATTATGCTTAATGACTGTGATTGGAATAACTTGCTTACATTTTATCTATTTACCGGTATTAATTCATTATCGTTGTTTTCCCCTTTATAATTTTCATTGAATTCTACAGGATGCTGGCACTCGGTGAAATCATGCTTCCTGTAGAAAAGATGATCAACTGATCAAAAGTGGTGATATCCGGCTGATTGTGCCAGTGTTGATTGATTTTCCAGTTTTATATATCGTTTATAGACTATTAGATAGTTTGTTTGTTTTAATATTGGAAATATTGATTGATAGCTCAACACCAATGCCACAAAGAATTGTATCGCTACTGAGATGAACAGGGCTAAATAAGAGATGATTATGATTTATACACGTACTTGTGATTATTATAAGACGATTCAAGATTTGATGTTTTAAACAAACAAATTACAGATTTGATGATTAATTATGAAAAGAATGTGTCGTTTTAGGTTAATCCACATCATCGCTTAAATTTCATTCTAATATCTCTAATATTTAATGTATGTTGAAATAATTATAATATTACATTGTATATTCAACGGCAATCTATGTAATTGTGATTATGGTGAACCGTTAGCAGCAATTATGGTGAGCTGTTGACAGCACAAACAAATATTAAATACAATGAAACTTCAAGTACCCTGAATATCCGTCATATTAAAATTAACGCGATATCGGATGAGAGCATATTGTGATAGTCATTTCCATTTAATATCTCTGATATCTGTATTTTGAATAATCAAATATAAGTGCTACTTTGTGTTTTTACGATAATCTATGTTATATGTTAATACGTTTGTACTTATGGGCTGATATATTTTAGATATTGAATAATTGTGAAATAATATGGTAGCATTACATTATTATAAGGAAGTAGGCGAGCATAAAATGACTGTACAAACAAATACCATTATCATGAAAATTCAAGTACACCATTCGTCATATTAATGGATAAGAACCCATTGTTGTAGTATATAGATTTATTATGAAAACATGTTTCCTCATCAGAATACGTCTGAAGGTGATTGATTACATTATTAATTGCAATAACTGGTAATTACCGTTGTGAATTGCCAATTTGTATTGTTATAACGGACTTGTTTTTTTGTCATGAAACATTTCTCTTGTTCTTACTACCTGCTTCCACTGTACCATTAATGTAATGCAAATCTTTACTATTAAATTCAACATAATAATACAATTATTAGTGTTGAATTTTATCATTTTTAATACATGAAGTCAAATTCTTCTTCTTGGTTTTTCTTTATGTAAATGTACAATTTATAGCCTTATTTCACGTGTTCTTGTATTTTACTGTAAGTATGACAATATCATGGTCTCTGGACGTTTACCATGGTCTGTTCTTTAAACAACCTAACCAAAATTGACTTGAATTAAATTGAATATTAAAATTACATAGAGAGGAGATGCGATGTCGAATGTAGAAGGTCGTAAAACAAAAACAAAAAGAGAACAATAGTGAAAAATAATAATTTGAGACGAAAAGAGAGACGAAATGAAGATGATCGGAAAATGATGATGGTGGAGATGAAGGTGAAGAAATGGAGGTAGAGGTGGAGGAATAAGAGCCAGAGGTTAATGAAGGAGTGAAAGAAGAATATGGAGAAGAAGAAGAAGAAGAAGAAGAAGAAGTAGAAGAAGAAGAAGAAGGAACCTTCTCCAAAACAGCATTTTTATATACTAACAGCACTGAGTAGGACCATCCCTCCGTCTTCCTTTTATAAGTGTGTCTTTATGATTGTAAATGTTTATGTATTAATGTTTTTTTTAATTGATGGAAAATAAATGCAATACATACAATACAATACAATACAAAACAAAGAAGATATGAAGATAAAAAGGGGTAGAAGGGGTAAAGGGAGGGGAAGAAAGAGAGAGAGAGAGGGGGAGACATTGTCGATTACCTTTTATAACTAATTTAAAGGGAAACATAATATCAATTTTTGAACCCCTCTAAATTATTAAATAAAACATCAACCTAAAACATATCATTCAACAAACAATGATAGGACTTACTGGACTGAATAAACAAAACATATTCAGTGAAGAACCCACTTTTCTTTCTTTACATCTCCGGTAGGCTATATTTACTTTATCAACAATTAACAATATATGAAGAGATCTCATCTTTGTACTTTAAGAAGTGCGTTAATACTAGGGGTAGACACAGTACTATCTTTCATAATTTACATACGATGTTATCAAATACCAAACAAACACTATGGCTGATGTACAAATATCTCATAATATGGTGGTTGTTGTGGAGGGCTCGCTTTATCGAATCGAATTGAAAGAGACCTTTGGACTGTATCCCTCTGTACCCAGATTACATTTTTAAAAGGTACTCCCCGTTTTTCATACTGCAGTCATGCAGTCAGTGACGCTTCTTTCTTCTCATTACGGCTGAATGCTCGATTATAGCATGCGCTGATCACAACGGTTGTGTTTTCTGCATGAAAAACGTGCACGCAAACAACTTGTAGCGACAATACAGTAGGCTCCATAGCGAAAAGCGTCTGCCATTATTAGCATTGCGCAACGGTTTATTAAATGACTTCCAGTCATACACTGAACCTCATCAATGCCATCTTTGTGACGTGATGAGCACCTAGTCCTTTTCTTGGAGGAGCGTTCGCTTTCTATTGTAACTGATGCGGAAGTATAATCAATGAGAGTGACGTTTTAGAGCAGACTTTTCTGTACTTGAGATACACTCCTGTAGTAGTCTGCTGGGAGTCGAAGAGAGAAGTTAGGCAGAGGATATATGGACATGGTATGGGATAGTACATTCAGTTCATCTACTGTATTAGCGACTAAAGTAAGTCTCCTTTTGCAATCATCTTCGACATTTTAACCACAGCCTGTTTGTTTCATTTCGATCTGAACTATTTGAGGTAGACTTGAAAATAAGATGCACATTCAACCAACATGTCTCGTCAGTGCAGTATTTGACTGAAAGGTACTAGGTACAATATGTTTAGTAGATTTTACCATTCTGTTAATACAAAAGCCATTAATCAAATTGTGTTTATATTTGTCATTGAAGAATTAGGGATTGACATGATTATTATATCCAGTAATCAGCCTTTATAGAGGAATGATTATGTCCAAAGGAAGAGATTGTAGAAACATTGTTTTATTAAACATGTAAGAATGTCATCAATGATAATTATGTAATACCTTTTAATGGATACTTAAGTTAAAACAAAAGGCATCTTTACCCTATACAAATACATATCGTATATGGTATACACACGAATCAGTAGTACTGTTGGATCTGCATACCAGTGTAAACATATATCTCTTCTCGCATTGTTTGATGGCACACGGCAAATCCATGCTGTCCAATATTTTAACTGTACAACAAATATGTTTGTTTGTCAAATGGATACGCATACCGCCATGCATGGTTTGCGTTTCAATAAATAATAAAAACCATCCGGGTATGATGGTCTACTGTTTATATTTGCTCGTATTTTGAAATGGCATCCAAGTCTTGTCCCAGGTCTCATTTTTATACAAATAGATATATGAGTTTCTATGCCAATGTTTTGTATTTCTGTTACCTTCCACAATCATGCTCAGTTCATTTTTTTTTAATTACTCACGACAGGGTAACAGTTTATGAAACAATAATTCATGATAAACTTGAAACTCTGAGAACCTGGGCCACGATTTGTATTTAGCTTCTCGTCAAAACGTATCTTCAATTTACATTTAGGTGTATGCTGATGATAGTAGCTATACTTTACATTAATGTCCATCCTTTAAGTTAGTTTTGTTCATCTCCTTCTGTATTGACATTGAATCAACAAGGACATTCTAATTCTTATTTATCATACCAAACAAAGGTTTCGCTTTATTGAGACAACAGAAGCATTGAGCTTTAAAAGACCATGTTTTAAAAAGATACTATTATGTTCTTATGTTTTTTTCAGGAGATTTTATATTGTAGGCCTATACATTATATATCATTGATTTTCGAAGTAATAGTTTAATGCAATATGACTGTACATGTGGGCAAGTCAGAGGTAAGGCACATATACGTTGCCAAGTATATATTCAATTGTCTTGACATAAACATATCATTGTATTTGATGTGTTGTCTGATTCAAGCTCTCGTAGGGCTATCAGCTTGATACAGACATCAGATACACTGAAATCTTAGATGTGGTTGGTCGGTAACGTGTGGGACAAAATAGTTTGGATTTTACCATGTACTATAATACTGTCAGTAAGCGGACCAGTATACATGTCATGCGAAACTCTTTCTAAATAACCGGGGTATTGCCCTTACGTCACCAAGGATATATTCAATTGTCTTGTGATCGTAAACACTAAACATTGAAAAATAAGAAAAGAATCAAAGAAAGAGAGGAAAAAAGAATAAAAAGAAAGAGAAAGTTCCCCTTCAATATGGTTGGTCTTGTGGAGTGTCAGGGTTTCGTATTGTTCAAGATCACTGCTCTGTCACCAAAGTCCGGTGTTATTGTTTTCCCCTAAATATTTCTTCCTGGTCAGCATATAGTACAACTTTCTAACAAATTATTACATGGTTTGGTTTGATGGTTGTTTTTACCTGACTGCTAAGAAAGCATGTGTATGATTGTAAGTAAGCAACCAGAGGACCGACGGCTTTAATTCCTCTCCGGTGGACTTGGTAATGAGGATTAATGCCTTAATAAAAGACACTAGCACATCTACGTGGTTTTGAACCCGGGACCTCCCGGTTACGAGACCACTGCTCTACCACTGAGCCATCACGTCTTCTTACGTCATTGATTAGATTGTTAGTTATTAAGACATGCACATGCTTGTCACATTTTGTTTTAAAGTGTTCCTGTAGGCTAGCACAATATCTACAACTGTCTAATTTTAAATAGTAGTCCAATAACATGGTAACCTTGTTCTTTGATAGAAGCAAATTTTTATTTTAAAAAGCATTTTTAGGACAAATCTCGTCATTGCTACCACTCAAGGACCTCTTCCTAGAAAGAACAAGTGACCGTTTCCCCGTTTATTACCCATGAAAAAACCTTTACGAACACGGAAGCGCAATATGCATTTATTTGACTAAATCTTGAAACTTGATTCGTTTTTAGGAAATCCTGCTTGGGTTGAGTGTTAGAAAAGTACACGAGAGGGACAATCGAGGAAGTCTCGGCATTATTATAATAATATACACGTTCAATCATTGCATGTGTATCTTAGCGGGAGTTGCAACCAGCGCATATAAATTGTTGGAGAGTTCATTATTTATATGATTATCTCAGTACGTTACGATTTTTGATGAAGCTTTGTACAGTGGCGTTTAATTCAATAATTTCATCTCGATTGCCTCATTAACATAACGGATCACTCTTTTCCAATAATGGTATCTCTTCTCGTTGTCATTAAAATGCCTTATCATGCAGTCACCTCATTCGGCAGTTGACTAATTGTTTTTTCTTCTTCTCGTACAAAATCGTGTCAGACGCATGCTATCGTTTAATTATGGTTTATGACTAATACATATATTAAATTTCCAACCTCTTGGTAATTTTCCATCAAAAATTGGCATAATATAACTGAGTTGGACTTACAAAATGTCCAGTTTATGCTGGTCCAAAATGTGGTTATTTCATAGCTTTGCCTTTTTTCCTCAATTCAAGGAAAGATCGTCACTTGCGTAGACCGCATCTTTGCAAAATTACTAGAATCAATACCACATTTAGTGCACCGTATTTCCTCATTATTATTTTAATACAGCTTTTGGTGTGTGGTTATTTTTCTAGACACCAAAAAAGACAAACATAACAAAGCTCCATACAAATGTTCTAATATTGTGGATTTGACAAATACAGTTCAGTTGGTTCTCGATTGTTGTATATGTCTTTACATTTTCTTCGAATAACACAACGATTGCTAAGTTCTTGGTTCGTGAGTTTCTAGTCTATTGTAAATTAGTGAATATGAAAATACGCGAAACCGCTCATGAACCCAAAACAGGTACAAAACATAATGAGTGGTTTGATGAACAAGCAAATCGTTAGCTATGACACATTTCAATACCACTTCAAGGCCTTAAAGTAAAGGATTGCTTGAACGATAAATTAAGTGATAATCGTGCATGTCAGCTCTAATTAACAATACATAGATAAACTAAAAGTTGCCAGGAATGATATACGCTATATAATCCATAGAATATTATTGAATTTTGAGCAAAATCTTTGCCTTTCAAAAGGATATAATAATCTGTATAGTCTAAAGGTCTCTTTTAATTCGATTCTCTAAATCTAGCCCCCCCCCCCCTCCCTACCATCACCACCACACCATTTTATGAGCTATTTGTACTTCGGCCATATTGTTTGCTTGGCATTTGATAAGATCGTATGTAAATTAGGAAAGCTAGAACTGTGTCGATACATTTTGGGGGTAAATTTTGTTGTTCACGATACCAAATGTCATTATAGACTTCTTTTAAAGGGGTAGCTTAGGGAAGGGGAAGGGGAAGGGGAGCTGACAGCAATGATAATTTTAGGTATACAAAATGGAAAAATGCCCCGCACAACTTATTATTACCTCCCCTAGGCATAAAAACCAACATCTTAAAATGTCCCAGGAATTCGTCTGCATTCCACTTTGTATATATTATTAGCTATCATAATCTGCGTTTGCATGTACGTACATCAAATTTAACTGATAACCTACAGCCAGAGCTGCTTTATTTGTTGAACAGTGACCAATTAATGCATTCCACTCACAAAACAAACATTCGTTACCATAACACCCGACAATGAAATGTCCAGAAGCGGATTGCCAACTTGTAACTTGATAACACGGTTACCTTGTACAAAATATAAATGATAACGTTTTTATGTTTTGTTTTTGTTTTTTGTTTTTGATAAATTTGCCAATGCAAATTACTCTGGATTTTTCCCCAACCTCCATCTCCTTTATTGACGTTTTAATATATAACATTGTCATTGATTGTGCTGGTTGTTCTTGAGGTTCAATGAACACAATGGTGTGATATGCATGTAACCATGACGACAGTTTCTGTGTATTTGGTAATCTAAAAGACTACCTGGTTAAAAGTGTTTTAAATTTGTTCCCAACAGATTGAGGAATAACTTTTTCACATTATTGTCATTGATTTCACCTTATCGTTAAAAAAAGAAAATAAATGGGTGTAAAGTATATGTTTATTTGTTGCTCAATGTGTTTTATATTTGAATTGACACTCCCGAAGGTAAAAATGTTTTTACAGAAATATTTATATATACATGAATATATGTGCACTGCTCGACTGTGTTTTTACTTTAAAAGCTCATACTTCCGAACAGTGCATGTGTTTGTTTTCTTTTTAAATCTTTCTTTCTTTCTTTCTTCCTTTTTTTCTTTTTAGATTAATCTACAAAAATACGAGCTCTACCTTTTAGTACATTTCTCAATTTTCTTTAAATACTACTTGACTTATGATAATATTATGCCTTTATATCATGTATCCTAAAATGCTTTGATCGCTTATCAATATTTCATATTGTATAATTACAAATAAGTTTCATCTTCTATGTGATAATGCAAATGTAATTTGGTATTAATTTTATGTAAGCATTCTTCATATTTTGATTCAGTTATGGAAATAAAATCATTTTAATTGAATCATCTTTTACAGGTTGTACTTATCTGCTTGGTCATCGAGATGCTGTGATGCAAGTTCCCTACTTCAAGCTGAGTTCTCTATGGTGAATAAAGTCATTTCGGACAACGTTTATAGGTCTCAACACTGAAGTGGTGGATATAGTTCTACAGATTACCTATACGCCACCAATCTACTGGCGCCCATTGCGGCGAAGTGCTTGGAATCTTATTGGAGGGAGGTGAAAGGTCAGATACCTTGAGCAAAGATGGAGGAGGTAGACTACAAGAGGGTTGGGGAGATCATGTGGACGGACAAACCTTTTAGGCTCCGAGAACTACCGGCTTCCTTTGGATTCCCGCTCCTCATCAAGGTGACGAAGGGGTCGGACGACATGGAACACAAGGAGAAGTTCTCGACAGGAGAGGTAATTAATGATGGTGATGGTGTTGGTAGTGGTGGTGGTGTGATGGTGAGGATGATGATAATGAAGAATAGTGATGATAAGTATAATAATGGTAATTGTGATAAAGATGAAAATGATTATGATGATGATAATGATAATGGTTATAATGATAATGATGATGAGGAAGAGGATTCCCGCTCCTCATCAAGGTGACGAACGGGTCGGACGACATGGAACACAAGGAGAAGTTCTCGACAGGAGAGGTAATGAATTATGATGGTGGTGGTAGTGATGGTGATGGTACTGAAGAATAGTGATGATAATTATAATTATGGTGATTGTGATGAAGATGATGATGAGGAGGAGGAGGAGGATGAGGATGAGGAGGATGCTCCTCACCAAGGTGGAGGGGTCGGAAGAGAATAGAAATTCGTGAAAGGAGAGGTAAAGATGATGGTGGTGATAAGTATGTAGCGATGGTGGACGTGATAACATTGATAATGACAATGATCATGATGGGGATCACACTGATGTGATGGTAGTGGTGATAAGTTGAACTTGAAATGCATGATAGTGACGATGTTAAGAGTGATGGTAGTAATGACAGAAATGAAGGTGGTGATGGAGACGATATTAAGTCAAGATTGTGACGATGATGAAGATGTGGAGATGGATATGATGATGTTAATCATTGTAAGGTTGAAGGTTACTAATGGTAATAACTTAAACTGATATTTCGATGGTATATACAATACGATATGGATAACATTATTTGAGGAAAATAATCTACAACTACATACATAATACATAATGATCGTAGTACACATGTGATTACGCGAGAGGCTTGATAAATATTTGATTTTCATGACACGCTTTAATCTTTCCTCAGATTCTACGGATCGACGGAGAAGAGAGACAGAGGAGAGTTATTGCGGCGGACTCGAAGGGCAGACACTGGAGTTTTCCTGTTCATATCGGGGCCAAATTTGATGTCAAAGGCAAGAAAGGTATGTGCGCCAAACCATAATTACATTGTTTTGTAATGAATCTGAATCACATTTTATAGCCATTGGCGTCAGAAAGCAATCAATTTCCAGTTTGGAAGATGCTTAAGGCTGGAAGACATTGATAAGAGCCATTAGGGGAAAAAACGTCCAACTACGTGCACAGAGTGGGAAAACAGACACTAAATGACGACGTTGGTGATGATGATGATGACGATGATGATGCTAATGATGATGATTTTCATTGTTAGCAATTAATATAAATACACTAGTTTATGTTGTCTTACTCCTCGAGGAGATTCAAAATAGACATTTTTTTTCTCTTTGCCTCTTAGAGGTGTATATTCAATATTCAAACAGTAACATAATTTTGCTTAAAATTTAGCAAATCAATGGAACATCAATAATACACAAGTTATTTATTCAAATATAACTAAGCAAATTCGCAGGAAATTTCATATTTTGTACTTTCAAATGTTCGTTTATTTCTATTCTGTTAGTCATTTCTCTCTTAAATAAGTAAATCAAACTCAAATCTCTATTATCATACCCATACTTATTACGAAAAATAATCATTTTATAAATCGACCAAAAAGCAATCGTTATTATCAAATCGATTTCGGTTTGCAAATTCATTTTGAGTAATAAAACAATATCTATCTCTATTCTAAGATTGAAAGCACGTAAAAGAAGGTTTCATTTGCCTTACATGAAATGAAAGCATGAAGCACATCTTCAGTCTTTTTGCATTTTAAACAAAGGTCATCGTTTGAGAGACCCCACTTGAACAGATTTTTACGAACTGGTAACATAGATTCAAAATAGACATGTATCTATCTTTCAATTCAAGAATGAATTTTTTGCAGAAAAATATACTTCGGCAGTCCATTGAGATTTGCAGATATAAGCAGTTGCACAGAAAATGTGCTGCATGATTATTTGACTATTAAATCACGAATAACGTTTATGTTTTTGAAGACACCATCGTAAGAACTTATAAACGTAGAGTTCGGTACAGCAGCGTTAATAGTTTCTTCCATTTCCTCTTTGATCCCCGAACAGATAGGCGCAATTCGATGTACATGAGCGAGATTGTGGAAGCGAAGAAGCTTCCCAAAAAGTTCTGTTTCGCTAAGAAGGATGAAATGCAGATGAGGATTACAGGAGAGGAGCATTCCGGACCCTTGGTAGAGGGTGACTTCAAGACCAAGGAAGTGACGAAGGTCAGGATCTTCAAGGCAAACAGGATCAGTGACGGTAAGAACAATGCTTTATATTCTTGTATTGCCCATTGCGCATGTAGCGTCATTTGCCTCACGTAGTACTGCGTCATCGACTGACGCAACCTTTGACATGCCTTGTAAGAGTGATGAACAATAATGAACAGTGCAAAAATAGCTTTGAATCACTGCCTTGATATAAGGTGAGTTCAAGACCAAGAAAGTGACTCAAGTCAGGATCTTCAAGGCCAAAAAGATTAGTGAAAGTAAGAATGACGCATATTAAATGTTCCTTCCAATGTCAACTACACATGGGTCACATGGGATGTCATTTGCCTGACGCAAGAGTGCGTCATTAACTGCCGCAGCCTTTGACACGTCCTGTCTGAGTGATGTCATGCGAAAGAGAAAGTGTAAAAAAAATGGCTTTTAATCACTGGCGCATGTGCTCATCGTTTTCACAGTTTTCATTAGCGCAGGTAATAGCGCAATCGAAATGACGCATCGGGTGCAACATGCATACTATGCACCAGTCACACCTCAGAAACAGACGGACAATATTCAAAATTATTTTTGTCTCTCCTTCTCATATCTGCTGTTACCAAATTTCACCAATTTGTTTTCTTCTCTCTCCCTTGCAGGTGACATCAAGCTCAAAGTTGTTTTTCTGCCCGCCTACATGGATGTCGAGGTTGTCATAGCAACCAAATTTGCTTGTGAACCGGATGCATATTGGGAGGAGTACATGGATGCCATGACGCGTGATATTAACAAGAAGGTCAACTTGAATATGTACAGGGGCAAATCAGGTAAGTTTGTGACTTTTTATTTTCGCCGAAGGCAGCAGATGACAGTTGACACAGTGCTATCGGTCAGAAGAGTTTGACCAGACCGGTTAGAGTTGGGCACGATATGGCGAATACTACTTCGTTGGGCAAGCACAAAACAAAAAATATACACCATCTTGTTACCAAATATGTGTGTTTAGATGGCTCTGAGCTAACAAGATGACGAGAAAATATTTAATTTACAGTTACTTTTGAATAATTTGATTATAATATTGTTTAGTCGAAAGAACTATCATCAAAGGGGCATTGATGAGAGAGTGTTCCCCCAGGGTGCTCACTTCTTCCTGATTCACCGTAAACGTTTGACCGTGACAAGGATATTTTTTTTTATCTACAATGAAATAACAGCCTCGGACATCAAACTAAATGGCCACAGGTTTTCTATTCTCTTTTTCAATGAAGTGGACTGTTGCACATTGGCATTAAGGTGTGGTAGCTTTGTGCAGTCATATTGTTCTTCCGATGAAAGCTTCGATTCAATTTTTCATGAACAAAAGCAACTCATTGAATTCGAACAAAGAAATGTTGTGAAGTATACGTAAAATCAAGCATGGTTCATGTCCGTTAATTTATATAGTGATGATCATCATGACTATATCTGTTGCTTCTTTGGATATTCATTGCAGATATCCAAATTTACGAGTTCTCTGAGAAGACCAAAAAGTCAAAGGCGAAAACAGAGTGTTTGTACGAGGAGCAACCACCGACCAAGATCGTCTCCGTCGGGAGCATCATCAAACAAAGACCATCCAGTACCAAAAGAAGGACACCGACAAGGACGCCCTCTACGTCATCAGATGGACGATATCCAAATATGGTAGGTCAAGACAGTGGCATGCACACTTGTGGCCTGGATTTAAAATAAGAAAATTTAGTTTTTTTATTTGATAAAGATTAACATGCGTCCATGTTGGTATAAGTGGTATCTCATGCAATAGATCCACTGTTTAGAACAAGAAAAATGCATGATGGGTCGATATCCCGATTACTTGATTGTGTTGTTAAGTATTTTCCTTAAAGCCCCACTGCACTACTTATAGCCTATCTACTTGCTCTATATAAGTAAGTGATTATGATTATGTTGCCATTTTTACCTTTACTTATGTTTTCTTACAACACTTTTATTTTCAGCACTAGCACAACCATGTACACAAGAACGTACACACGTTCACAGAATTACATGCACAGACTCACACTTCCACACATGGACAAAAACTCACACAGCGTGCTCTCTGTGGTTTTTCTTGTATACTTGAGATATTCCAGAATTCTTAATGATTTTTCCTAACGCAAATTTTGACCAAGGTTTGATAAATGTTGAAAGCAAGTATTATACAGTAGAAGAATTTAATTCTAGTTTTAATTCATCCAATAATAACGATCAAATGTACGATGATTCAAACTCCATGAATCTTCAAGCCAATCCTGACTTTAGCCTATTTCACGTTAATAGTAGAAGTATGAATAAGAATTTTGAGTCCGTACAAGAACTTTTTTTACAATTAAATAACTTCCAGTTTTCCATAATAGGCTTATCTGAAACTTGGCTCCATAACAATTCCCCACCTCTATTTAATATACCAAACTATCACATGTTTCGTTCTGATCGTGACAATGGTAGAGGGGGCGGAGTAGCGCTATACATACATAATCATTTTAAAATTAAAGTTAGGTCTGACTTACACACTGAAGGTGCTGAAGATTTATATATTGAAATATTAAATGATAAAACCAAAAACATAATAGTTGGCATAATGTATAGACCCCCTAATCATAATGTAGACATTTTCTTGGACAATTTTGATAGATGTCTTGATACTGTTTCCCGAGAAAATAAAGAAGTTTATATAATGGGCGATTTTAACATTAATCTTTTAAATTCTGATGATAACCACATTGTGAAATTTAGTAGTACACTGCAATCTTACGCATTTAACCCACATATTGATAAACCAACAAGAATTTCATGTATTTCTCAAACTCTCATTGACAATATTTTTTCGAATGTAGCTCATAACAATTTTACAAATGGTCTGTTGTATTACGATATTTCTGACCATTTACCGATATTTATTATTTCTAAAGTTCACCTTGTTAAAAAAATTACTAAAATTAATTGTGCAATGCATAGAAAACAAACAAAACATAATATTGAATCATTAAACTTTGATTTAGCCAAAGAAGATTGGGTCGAGGTATTATGTGTATCTGACGTAAATGTAGCATATGAAAAATTTCTAGAAATTGTATTACATTATTATCATAAGAATATACCCCTTGTCAAAATAAAAAAAGGTAAAAAGGCCAAACAACCATGGATTACTAAGGGTATTTTGCGTTCCATAGTCGCCCGTAATAAGTTGTATAAGGAAGCCCTTACAAGTCAATGTAACGACAAGCTTAAGAAGTATAAAACGTATAGGAATCATCTTACATCTCTTATACGATTGTCTAAGAAGTTATATTATTCTAACAACATAGAAAGTAATAAAAGTAACAATAATTTATTATGGAAAACTGTAAAGGAACTCTTAGGCAAGAAAAAGACAGAAAGTAATAAATGTTTCTTAATTGATGAACAACAAATAACAGATCCAATTAAAATTTCAAAAGCTTTTAATGAGTATTATATAGATGTAGGCCCTAATTTAGCAGCTAATATTGATTCAGGTGACATGGACTACAATAAGTCCTTGAATTTCCCACGTGAAAATTCCTTATTTCTTACTCCAACCAATGATTATGAAATTATTAATGTAGTTCAACACCTTAATTCTACAAAATCTAGTGGCCATGATAGTATAAGTGTTCACTTATTGAAACAAATAATCTTTAATATGGTAACCCCCCTGACATATATATTTAATTTATCAATTTCAACGGGTGTATTCCCACATTTGCTTAAAATCGCTAAAGTGATTCCTATTTATAAAAAGGACGACTCCTCAGTAATAAGTAATTATAGGCCAATTTCATTATTACCAAGTATCTCTAAAATTCTCGAAAAAATAATATATAAAAGACTTAACACTTTCTTACAAAAAAATAATTCATTGATTCCTAACCAGTTCGGTTTCAGAATTGGTCATTCTACCGGTTACGCAATTCTGCATATGTATGATAAAATAATTGAGGCTTTTGCGAACAGTGAACATATTGTTGGAGTATTTATGGACTTGTCAAAAGCTTTCGATACGATTGATCATAAAATATTAATACATAAATTACAATACTATGGCGTAAGAGGTCAAGCTCTTTCATGGTTCACTAATTATTTACAAGACAGACAACAATACGTATCTTTCCAAAATCATGAATCAACAAAATTAACAATTAAATGTGGAGTACCGCAAGGATCTATATTGGGTCCATTGCTATTTATTATTTATATAAATGATATTATTGAAACCTCTTCACTTTTAAATTTTATCATCTTTGCTGATGATACGAGTATTTCTTATTCCCATAAAAACTTTGATACGCTCATAACGCGGTTAAACTGTGAATTAATGAAAATTTCTAGGTGGTTTAAATCTAATAAATTGTCATTAAACCTTAGTAAAACAAATTTCATTCATTTTAAACAGACCAACGTACATGATATGAGAAATTGTAATATTGAGATTGATGGCTTGCCTCTCATTGAAAAACAATCTGTTAAATTTTTAGGAGTCTCTATTGACTCTCATCTAAATTTTAATGAGCATATACGTAATATACATACATCAATATCAAGGAATATTGGAATACTGTATAAGTTAAAACAAATTCTTTCTGAAAGATCTATGATTATATTATACAATTCTCTAATTTTATCACATGTGATTTATTGTAATATTGTATGGGGTAATTGTAGCTTAACAAGAATTAATTCCTTATTTTTGCTTCAAAAGAGAGCGATTCGCATGATCACTAACTCACATTATATATCACACACGGAACCTTTATTTCAGCGTTTAAAAACATTAAAAATACAAGATATCCACATTTTTCAGACATGCATTTTTATGTATAAATATTCTCATAATCAATTACCATCCCTATTTCACAATATTTACAGTTTAAACTCAAACATTCACACATACCCCACACGTTGTTCAACAAATTATCACTTAGAAAATCCTAAAATACTTTTAGCACAAAAATCAGTAAGACATCATGGACCAGATGTTTGGAACTCCTTACCAAATTCAATAAGGCATTGTTCATCTCTCTATTCTTTTAAAGCATCTCTCAAAAAAACTCTTATATCGAAGTATCTACATAACTGATTTCAACATGCAGTAGGCAATTGTCAAATTTCGGTCACATTGCAACTCAGTTTTGCAAATTTTGTTTTCTATTTCGTATTTCTTAATTTCCTTTATTGTAAAGGCTGTATTTGTTTCTACTCGACTATACCACACAGAGCTACGTACACTTCCACTATTTGTTACAAACACATACAAACACGCACGCTCGCGTGCACGTGCACACACACACACACACACACACCCACACATGCACACACGCACACACACAATATATATATATATATACACTTGCACAACACACTCACCAACTCATACACAAAGATCGCTTGAACACTTTTTCATTTTAAGTTTTACCTTAAGATTTTTTTTTGTTTTGTTCTTGTTTTTTTTTTTTTTTTTTTTTTAGGCCGCCATCCTTGTCAAGCTTTGCTTATGATTGCGGTCTCCTGCACTTTTCCACCAGAATAGTTAGGATAATACTTTAAATTTATGATAATATGTTATGGAAATAATAAGTTTCGTTATTATAATTATGTACATATATTATGTAAAAAAACATTTTGACATGAAGAAATTATTGTTTGTTTATGTTGTATTATACCTTACATGTATATTATGTTATTTGTTATTCAGTTATATTTTATTTGGAAAAAATGCAGAAATAAAATCAAAAATCAAAAATCAAAATATAGCAAATAATGCCTAATCGGTGTCTGTTGGTCCCCTGTGATACTCTTTTTCTTGTTATTGAGAGCTGATTTGATGAAATAACCACCTGTCAGTGACCTTGCTGGGACGTCTAATCCTCCTGGCCAAACTAGTGCAGACGGGCTTTAAGCTTCACCTCTGTCCCTTCCTCCCACCCTTCTTATGTGTTTAAACACTCTAAATGCTTTTCTCCCGGTATCCATTCTTCGATATGACTGTATATATGAACTTTTCACCAATTTCTCACATTCTTGCTCTACAGAGGCCGTTTGGCGCTCCGAAATCTGAGCCAGAGCCAGAGGAACCGCAACGAGCAGTAGCGGATATCTTGAACGATCTACGGGACAAAGATGAATCTGAGATGACGGAAGAAGAGATTCGCGTTGCCAAGCACCGCAGGATGTTGCTTGCCATGTTCGCTGAGGAGGAGGAAGAGGAAAAGGAGAGGAGACGATCAGGAGCGTCTTGCGAGGTTGATGAGGTTGACGGGGATGCCAATGATGATGATCAGAATGATAATAATGAGGACGATGATGCCGACGATGCCGACGATGACGAGGATGATGATAATGACAGTAATGACGACGATGACGACGATGACGACAACGATGAGTCAGTGGACACGAGAGGAGAAGGAGATAGGGATGTCCTAGATGAAGTCCAGCGGCCCCGATCACCTGGTGATGGATCAACCATCTCAGCCGAGTCGGAAAGCAACGGATCCGTCTGTGTCGATGTTTCTCCTGCAGAATCAAAGCCTCCTATACCCGCCCCTCGTACCCATGGTTTAAGTCACAATCAAAGCCCCTCATCACCAAACCTGCAACCTCCGGTCCAGCAGGTCGATAAACCCATCACAAAATCCCCACCACAAAATCCGCTTAAACCTCCGCTTAAACCAAAGCCAGCTGTCCCCTCGCATAAGCCCTCTCTCAAGCCGCCAGTAGTCCCACACGGTTCGACCGAACACAGTCAAGCTCGGGTGGTCAATTCGTCCGATCACACCCGCTTTGCGAATATCCAAGACATTCCTGCTAACCTCAGTGGCCTGACTATCGATGACATGTGTAAGGCCTTGGAATTCTTATGCCTTGATAAATACGAAGCTCAGATCCGAGACAACAAGATAGATGGCGAGATGGCCTTGGAACTTTCTGAAGACACGCTCAAATCAGACCTAGGTCTCAATGGCCTCGAAGCAAAGAAACTCTATAACTTCATCCATCACAATTGGAGACCAGTTTGATGTAGGTCTTTCCTCATAAACAACTCATCACTAAAAACTAGGATTTTGTTACTGATATTGTTCTTGTTCATATCATATTTTTTGGCTCAATTTTTGTTTCATCCTTTCACATTTTTGTTTTTACATGTGCTATATTTTCAAAGTACTCAATGCTATAGTCTCTGATACACTACCTGTAACAAATGATAAACTCAACACTCTCTATGTCGGCCATCCATAATCATTATAGCAAAAGGGAATCGGTAAAAGTGAGGATCACAGAAATGTGACCTTTTTCATACAAGTTCTCCGTTGTTTTATTTCTCTCGCGAGAATTTTGTTTCAAGTGTACACTTTACTTATATAAAGGTGAGACACTGTACAATTTTTGACTTCAAGAGATAGTTTAGTTTCGGGGAGAGGTGAAAAATAATTTGTGAGCGTTATCATTGTTATTATGCAAGTGTGGAAGGACATCAGAGAAAAAATGTTCCCTGAAAAGCATGGGTTTTCAGACATGTAACAGCTTAAAAATGAGGCCCGATTTGTATGCCTCATTGTGTAGTCCCATATACATCGTTCTGTCCCGGTGGGGGGGTGTGCCGCTCTAATGTGTCATTTTTTCACACAAAAAATCCCTAAACATGGGTCCCACTTTTAACAAAAATACCATTAAAAATGGGTCCGTTTTTTTTAAATTTGCAAAATTTTCGGGCGTTTAAAAACACCCCCAAAACAACCGAAAATTTTGAAAAGTGCCCCTTAAATGCCCCATAATAATGGGTAGGGTTTCGAGGCTTGAGCGGCAGACCCCCGGCCAAACCAAATCTGAGTCCCCCCCCCCCCCCTTTACTTTACCAAGACTGGGCCAAATTTCTTATCATTTTGATGACTCCAGAACCTTGCAGTAAACACCAATAATTGTACATGTATGTTAAATGATCAACTTTCTCTGATCGATTCCACACCGTATCTTTCACAATGCACTCGCATGACCAGAACTCATCTTGAAGTTTCGATTAAATTATTTCCATTTTTTTGTAATACGTTACTTTATCTTTCCATCCTTCTTATATAATGCGACTAGAGGTTTAAATTGAAAGATTGAAGGCGATTTAACTCATTCATTTAACTGCTGGATTGTCCCCCGAAAGAAAGAAAAATAATACTGTCTATTCAATTATCTTTCTACGCAATATGTGTACTGTGTGATATTCAAGCAGCATACAAATCTTGAAAGAAATATAATATCATTATTTTATCCTTTCACTTTTTAAGATATCCATGTATTTTGTATTCTTGCCTGACAGTGTTATATTAAATGTCAGCATCAAACTTGACGACCTTCTCAAATTGTAATGATTTTATTTGTGACACTGCCTGATATTCATCTTCAGTGGATTAAACCATGATTAAACCAAAACAAAATTTGACGTCTTTGTTTAAAGGTAAAGACCAGTTGTGGTCATGCGATTGCATTTTTAAAGAAACGTTGTGGAATCGATCAGAAAAGGTTGATCATCTAGCATCTGCGAGGTTCTGGAATCATCAAAATGATGAGAAATTTGGCCCATTCTTCGTAAAGTTACAAGCACTATACACAGAAAGATGTATATGGGACTACCCTATATCTCTCACAGACCATGAGAGAAACAAATTTACCAAATATATGAATTAGTAGGCGGTTTCCCGGCAAATTCTTTATCATCATGTATTAGTCAAAACATTCTTTCACATGATTGGTAATAAGAGCTTCCATTTCATTTTTTGAAATTGGGGCGTTTCCAATACTGGTCTTTACCTTTAATACTAATTACATTCCGGACAACTTTCATCTTCCACACCACCTTTTCAAAACACGAACAAAGTTAAACATCACACACGAGAGCAACTACTTTCGAGAAATCAATCTAAGAAAATGTCAGTAGCCTTGTGCGTCTCCCATTGAAATGTGCGAACATGACGATGACGTATTACGTAATCTGAATATATTATTTCTATTACATTTACAATAGGTATTGGAATTGCTCTTGAGTAGATATTTCGAAAAAAAAGTTGCTATCTTGACCTCAATTTTGAAGGCGAATCAACAAACACCAAATGTTAGCACTAACAACGGGTCTGAAAACTTTGTTGATAAAATGTTTGATGACTCTTTGTACAACTTTGAGAATAAATTCAGTAAATCTGTTCGGATAATTCCACAAGTTTTCTTTTCATTTGTGAATTTCGACAAAAGCGTTTAAAAGTTGACCGTCCGCGAAGTTTTGACTTGTTTCGTTACCCGTTAACATTTATGAAATACGTGGATGAGACGGAAAATCGCGGACTAGAAATGAGAAGAATAGAAGTGAATGAATTAAATGGAGAGAAATGAGAAGTGGACGAGGAAGGAGAAGATTGGATGAAAATTAGACGCGTAAAGATTTTGTTTGAATAGAAAAACGTAATGTCTTTTTTTTTTTATTGTTGTATTGCCCTCCGCGACCTACCCAACAATCTTAAAACCTACGGTCAACTTTTTCACCGTTTTTTAGAAGAGAAAATTAATTGATAAAAAAATATGTTTTGTAGCACTCAAAACTGAAAAATAATAACCCAAAGAGGGAGAAAACAAAATCGGCCTTCCGATCCAGGTGCTGGCACCTAAAGGGCAATACAACATCTCTTTTTGTTTGAGAAAAGAATGCGAAAATAGAGGAAGAGAGGTAGACAAACCAAACAGAAACAATAAGAAGGGATAGTCCCGTTCGTTTCCAAATTGTTAGCATGAATAAGAGTTCCCTGATTTCGTTTTACATTTTTGGAAATACACTTCCAAATAATGTCATGTAAATAATATATTAGCATTGTGAAACAGTTGGTTCTAAAGTGATATAGATGAGCACAAATATTTTGAGGGTTTTGCACGCCCCAGTCAATATTTGAAAAACAAGCCACATAGACTCAATCCAGGGGTGTACGCATGGGGGGGGGTTTGGGGTTTGGGGTTCAAACCCCCCCCCCCCCCTTGGTATTTTTATGTATGTAAACCCCCCTCAAAAAACTAAACCCCCCCCCCCTTTTTTTTTCTTTTTTTTTAAATTAAAAAAAAAAAAATTATGCCCACGGCTAACGTAAAGTGACCTTACCCCCCCCCCCCCCCCCAACGAAAAAAATGTCAAATTTTCAAATTTCGAGACAAAAAAAAAAAAAAAAAGTGTCCGCTTACAGCCCCCCCCCCCCCCCCCCCCCACTGAGCGACTTTCCGGCCGGCGCGATTTTCAAATTTTCGGGAGCAAAATATTTTGGGCCAGATTTTAAACCCCCCCCCCCCCTTGAAAAAATCCTGCGTACGCCCCTGACTCAATCAATAATGAACGGTGTGCAATAATGGTATTATGCCAAATCTTTAAGAAATCTATCCAGGGCTTTATAAAAAGGGGCCTTTCCCTTGCAAAGTGACGTCAGTTATATTTCATAATTATCCTTTGAAATATAAGAATATCATAGAGGTTTCTATCAAAAATATAAACAAACAAGCGCATGTCAAATGTTCAACAGACGCACTGTTTTATGTGATTTTAAGTTAGTGATTAAGTGATTCTTATATATTTTAGCCAACTTTGTTGTTTTTAAATCATCGAAACTGACAGTACATGTCCATGGCCCTGGGAAGTGAGGGTGCTGGGGGTGCTGCAGCACCCCCGGAATTTTTCCAGGAGGGCACAGCACCCCCTGCAAATTTTTTTGGTATGATATATTTACTGTATATCATTGTATGCTTCGCTTACAAAATTGTCACACAGCCGACAGCCACAAATGACGATTAGAAAGTACAAAATTATAACGTTTATTTCACAAAATACTATAAAATTACCCCTCGAAGCGATTTTTTGTTGTTGTAAATATAATTATAATTTTTTTTTTTTTAAATGTGGTAATTGGTGACCCAAAATGACAGACCTTACCCCCCCCCCCCCCCCAATGCAAATCGACTAAATGTTCAAATTAAGAAACTAAAACAAAAAATGTCCTCTTACTCTCCACCCCCCCCCCCCCCCCGCTTATTCAGCGGTAAGCTGAGTCGTTGCGAAATTTTTGGGACCAAAAAACAAAAAAAATGTCCTCTTACCCCCCCCCCCCCCCCCCAATTGCAATTGATTTAATTTCATTCGATTTTTTTTTGTCAATCCTTATAATTATTATTTATTGTTTAGCTTATCGCGAAATGTCGATAGCATTGTAATATGCATGCACATTTGACATATTTTTTCTGAAATGTCCCTTTTTCTGAAAATATAATCTGTAATGTGTAACTGGTGACGTCAATCAGACTCTGATTACGTCACAACTATGAAGCAGTCACATTGTTTTTCAAGGATTCTTCGGTTGGCAAAAATGCAAATATACGATTGTTGAGAAAACAATTTTATTAGTAGGTTCTATGAATGATAATGCATGACTGAATACATCATCATAATACTTGCACGGTGAACTTTTGTGATATATTTGCACAATGAGTTCAGCGAAATTCTATGACAGAGGATATTAATCTGGGCCAAAGAACGGTTTGTTCAGATAAAAAAAAATCATATTACTTATTGACATTCGGACCAATTGTTATAAATCTAGACCCAGTATTTACTTGAAGGCAGTCTTCTTTCTTATACATGTATATGTTATATCTATAACCTTGTATGTTTAACATGCATACCGTCTCGATTTACTTGGATTGTCTCCTCTTTCTTTGGAACATGAAAGGTTGTTTATGTCTCAAACACCTCCCCTCCCCTCCCCTGTTATACGCTTTATTTATCATTGATGATAGTCATCTCTCACAAACTTTCTAGTCCGCCTCGTGCAGTATCTAAATGGCAGATAGCTAACGTTTTGTATGGAAATAGTTGACAGCAAACTATGAATGACTACGTACATTTTGATACTTTTTCCCACAAAAGATGTTGCGGTTTTATCTGAGACTGTAACCTGTTTGATATATCCTTCAAAAACTGAAAGATAAGAAGGTTCAGAGAAAAATA